CAACCACTGCCCGAGGGGGGCCACGGATCTTTTTAAAAGGTTGCGAGCTGCAAGAGAGCTGCCTTTCCCCGCCGGGCTGCCCTGACGCAACGGCCGGGCCCTGCCTCATTGGCTGCCGCTCGGGGGGAAAAGGACGGAGAAGGAGGGAAAAAAATAAAGCTCCAGCCCCAATAAAAACTGACTGCAGAAATTGAGAAAATAATTTTACTGTAATTGGAGAAGGACCACCCCCTCCGGCCCCCCCACGTGACAGGCGGGGACACGAGAGGCTCTTTTTAAAATGCATCTTGAAAAAAAAAAAAAAAAGAGGGGGGGCAAAGGGAGGGATGCAGAGAGAGGAGAAGGGGAGGAAAGAGAGGGAGGGAGGGAGGGTCACGCAGGGAGCAAAAGAGCAGCCCCCGGAGGAAAAAACCCAGGCTTCGATTAAAACCACCTTTCGCCATGTCGCCCTCTTCTCACGCAGGTCCGGTGGGGCGTTGCCCTCCGAGAAACGCAGAGGAAGCCCGTGGACCCCGCGGGACCCCTCGGACTCTAACATCCCCGGCGGGGCGAGTGGGCGGCTGCCGTGGGGCAGGGATGTCCCTCCGAAAACGACGTAGGACAGATACCCCCCAGCCCCGGTCCCGTCCCCGGCCTAGGGAGGGTTCCCGCGTTCCTCTCGTGAGTCCCGCAATTCCTCCGCTCTAGCCGTCCCGCTCTGCTGCTCCGTGTCTGCAAAAGGATAGATCCCTGGAAAAAGGTCCAGGGAACAAACTTGCAAGCAAGCGATGAGGAGGAAGGGGTTTCAGTCGTTCAGGTAACAGTGCAAAGGCTGGGGAACAGAACAAGCCTGAACTAAATAAAACAAATCAAAACGTCCTTGTGCCCGCACTTCCTGCCTAGAACTGCCCTAGACTGAGCTGTGGCCGGGTTTGCAGGTCAAAGCCCAAGGGTTTGGAAATGATGAGTTTGGAAAAAAAATAATAATGCAGAGAAAACTTTCAGGGTCAGGATGGACAGACAGGTGAGGAGATGAATGGAGAGGTTAACGGGTGGAAAGAGAGAGAAATGTGGAGATGAGGAAACAAAGCAATCCGAAAAAAAAATAAAACTACAGAGTAAATAACTGGGGTCTGTGGAAATATGTGCGTTAATGAATTATTCAAAATGCACATTTTTCGTCGTCTGTACACGTGGTGAAAGCACACAGAGCCTCCTTTCTGCCTCCCTTCTGGTTGCCCCCCTGGATAAAACCTTTTCCTGAATCCCCACATCCTGAGCTCCTGCTCAGTGCGAACGCTCGAGCCCTTCTCTGACGCTTTCCTTAATGAGAAGAGATCGGCACTGGAGTTCAGCTGCCGAAAAAGGGGGAAGTTTTCTGCTTTCTGAATATCAAACCCTAATAAAAGGCCCCTTCTACCATTCTCCTTAGCGGTCAAAGCCCGATCCTTTCCTCCGCGGAAGAGCAGAGAAAGTTTTTTTTTCACACTCGGGAACAGAAAACACGACATAAAACAGCGTTGGAAAACGAGGCGTTTGCAAACCTCAGGCGGGTGCCTGTAGAGAGGGCTCCCAAATCCTCCACGTTTGCTAAAGATTTTGAGCCTCGACGCGTGATTCTTTTCTTTTCTTTTCTTTTCTTTTCTTTTCTTTTCTTTTCTTTTCTTTTCTTTTCTTTTCTTTTCTTTTCTTTTCTTTTCTTTTCTTTTCTTTTCTTTTCTTTTCTTTTCTTTTCTTTTCTTTTCTTTTCTTTTCTTTTCTTTTCTTTTCTTTTCTTTTCTTTTCTTTTCTTTTCTTTTCTTTTCTTTTCCTCCCCTTTCCCTAGTTTACCGATTGCCCCGTTTCTCTGATGCCCTTTTGAGTCCCCTCCACTCCTGTCCTCTCCCCATTCGCTTTGAACCCGCGCTCGTAACTCGGCGGCTCCGGACAAGGCGGCAGCGAGGGGCAGAGAAATGTTTGCAGACGGGGCCGGAGCTCCCCCGCGTCTCCCGATGCTCCTCTCCAGAAAGGTCGGACTTAATTCCGAGGTCAAGGCCAAGGTGAAAGTTAAGAGCCCCTTTGCTTTGGCTCCACTTTGCCGCTGCGAGCTGCGGAGCTTTCCAGCCCCGGCGAACCGGGGGGCAAAGCCTTCCCAGCTCCAATCCTGTCGGATAATTTCGGGAAACGCTGTACCCGTGCGAGGCCGAAGCGGGATCGGCAAGCAGAGCGACTTGCCCGACGTGCTGCCTACTTTTTCTGGTAGTTGGTATCATTTTGGTTTCTTGCATTTATTTAGTTTTGATTCGAAGCGCCGAAAGCAAGTAAAAAAGCACTGGAAGAACTGCACAGATCCTACCGTAAAACGAGGGTGCAGGAACCCGTCACTGGGTAATGGAAATAGATTTTACCCCATTTCACGAGAAATTCTGGGCTCGCACCCGGCCCTGCCTCCGCTGCAGTGTCCAGCAGCAGGAGGCTCGGCTCTCTCCACTTGAGGATGCTACACCAGGATAAACAAAATAGCACCGGGAATCTGCCTTTTCTCTTTCTTTTTTTTCTTTTTTTTTTCCCTTTTTTTTTCTTTTTTTTTTAATCTTTCTTTCTCTCTCTCTTTCTAAGTGCGGCATACCTCAAACTTTTCAAAATAGAAATTCTCTTCAGTGAATCTTCGTTATTACATGGTAGGAAAATTCCGACCATGCTTTGCCATGAGGTAGTTCAAAATGCGGGCTCCAATTTCAAATTAACATTTCCTGTCTTTGACAATTTTACGAAGAAAATTCAGTGCGATACTTAGTGTCACTTCTGATAAAGCAAGAGGAGCGGATTGATTTTAAAAGAAAGGATTGATTTATTTCAGCTACTTGTCCCTCCTATCAACGACTGAGTTTAAAATTAACAAATATGCTTATTAGTGATTATGTTAGCAGCTATATTTTTAATGTATTCCCAAAGGTATCAATTTAATATTTATGCCATCTAGAATGTGAAAAGCTTTGGACTAACTTTTTTAAGAGTCTGTAATTTTCTAAGCAATTGAATTTGAAGCCGTCTTTACAAAATGTAAGGGAAAAAAAACAAACAAACCGGCAAACAAACCAGACCACAAACTCCAAAGCGGTTTGAAGAAGAACAAATCGAACTACTTAAAAACTTAACGTTTGGAAATAAGCATTGTTGGAAAATTGGATTCTGTGTCTGGCTCAAGGGAGACCAGCTCTTTCGTTTCCCGATTTTAGCAATATTTATAGGAAGAAAAATCAAAAAAGGCAAATAATTTAATATTTTGTCTTCCCCACTCCACCTTTTCTGCTGATCTCTCCTGTCCTATACCACCAGTGTCTCAGAAGCTCCTTGGTATGTAGGTGTGCATATTTCTCTCCCTGATGCCTGCAAGGACAGAATCTGTATTTTATAGTGCATTTCTCTCTGTATTCTTTGAAAAAATCAATCTGGGATCTTTCAATGCATTTGCTCCATCCCTGCACATCCCAGATCTCCTCTCCCCTCTCAGAGCTTGATTGGAGTTTGTTTTTTTTTTTTTTCCATGCATTTTAGTTTCCCTTTAGAAAACGGCAGGGCTGAGCTGCACCTCGGACTGGCTCGTTTCTTGCTCTCATGCAGGGGAACGTGCCCCTTATGTACCCCTTAGGGACATCCTGCAAATGCACATTTGTTTTGCAAATGTCTCCTGCTGCAAATAGGTGTTGCACATCCTTAACCTGGCAACACCAGGCAAGTGTGGATAGGTGCCCACAGCTCATGTTTGCCCCAGGCACAATCCAGAGCCTCAAATTCTCTCTTTAAAGATGTATAAATGTGCAGCAGCCATCTCACACTTGCCCCATGCTTTTGCAGCGTGCATGCAGCTGTGCATCCCGTGTGTCCCGGTGCACGCTCCCCCTGCTCGTCACCGAGCCCTGTGGTGTGTGCATGTCCCTGCACATGCCTGTGTGTGCTTGCTGGCCCTTGCCCTGGACAACAGGCATTTTTTTTTCCCAAGTTCTTGCTCAGCTAAAGCAAATCACATCAGCCATGGTGGGGGAAAGGGGAGTCAGTGTGTGCCTGGTTTGCAGTTCTGCCTCTGACATTTAGTTCTCCCTTGGGAGCCTTCAGGATCCTGATGCGCTTCCCGGCTGTACCCACCCAGCAGGGCTGCTGGTTTCGTCCAGCCTGGAGCTGGGTCCCCAAGGCAGAGTGGAAGGGGGCTTGATGGCTTCATCTTGCATTGATGGGGAGAGGGGTGAGTTGAATTTTTGTTTGAATAACATTTTGAGGCTTAGTCCCCAAAATATGCCTGTGAGGGGCAGATTCTCACCTTTCTGATAGGGTAAATGGGAGGAGGGAGAGGGAGGCCAACTCAGCAGTACCCCGTTGCTCTCCCCACACCAGCAATGCACCTGGGGGGGTATCCTGGCCCTGGCTTTCTTCCCTGTCACTCTGTGGCTGCCAGCTGCTGCTGCAGCAGTTTCACAGGCTCCTGGGATCCCGCAGGACAGCGGTGGCCCCTGAGGTTCATGCCTGCAGCCAAGCTGGGGCTCTGGCCCTTCTGCTGCTGGAGGCAACTTGAGTCCTTCAACACTTTGCAGTGAGGTGTCCCACCACAGCCACGTAGACCAAGGGTGAGCACTGCCCTCCCGCTGCTCCCTGAGCACCCAAGGGGTTATTGCTATGTCTCCCAGCCATGCCGGTTAAGTCAGAGGTTTCTCCCGAGGGCAGAAATGCAAACACGAGACCTTTGCCTTTTGGACTGAGCTCTGCCCCAGTGAACTCTCTCTTGGGAACGTAATGCACTGAGAGAGCAATCGTCACCCAGGGCCAGGCCCGTGCACGCCCTCCCAGGGCGAGTCAAGCCTACACCCAGGAGAGCCTCCCTGCACGCTACCATGGACCCTAAACCCTGGCAAGATGAGGAGCTCCAGAGCGGAGCTGCTGGTGCAGGTGGTTGGGGACAAGCTGGAAGGGTGACAGAGGCCGCTGCCATTGCTGCTGCCACCACCACTATAAGAAAGTCTTTCTCTGTGTTCAGTTGTGCCTCTGTTGGCTCTGAGCTGCTACTTGCTTCTCTTTGGGCCATGGAAACATAAAAACTGAGAGCTGCAAAACATAATAAAGACAAAATACCCCCCTGAAAGCTTCCCAGAGCACTTTGTAAAGCTGAAATGCATTTATTCATATATTGTATTAATAAATGTATCAAACACATTAGCATTTGTTATTGAAGTATTATGTATTAATACATGAATTATATTTATATACATTATAGGTATGAATATAAGCATCACTAATAAAATGACGCCACCCCAAATCATTTAATGCCTATATCCACTGATGGGCACCTATATAGGAATGTAGAAAGTGGCTATAAAGATGCCAGAATGGTGTTTCTTTATTAACACATGCCAAAACAAAACAAAACAAAAACAAACAAAAGTACCTACATGACACTGTAAAACAGAGAAATACATATAAAAACAATGAAGAG